ATGGAGGACTGTTTCCTGATCCTGGAAGAGTAGACTACAATGCCGGCTGTTCTGACTCACAGACTGTAAGTACGTTTTTATATTTAAAGGATTTGCCACTGATGATTCAAACGCGAGTTTTGGGCAGTGTAGAGTAGCGCTTGTTGTTTGTCATTTCTCCGATCATACATGCAGACATGGTTTTATGTTTACACGGCGCGATGCAACGCAACGTGTAAAAAGACAGTATAAGTCATTATAATCCGTAATTATGTCCCCACTGGATGCAACAAATGCCTTGTTTATAATGGGTTTTACTGGTTTTGTCTCGTCGCTCCGGCCGGGACACAGCATCACAGTTTGGTGTAACATTTCTGTCACACGCTTGAGGTATTCGGCCAATCACAATGCACTGGATAGCTGGCCAATCACAGCACACCTCGCTTTTCAGACCGATGAGCTTTGTAAAAATCGACGCGTTTCAGAAAGATGAGAAACAATAATGTACAGTATGTGGAAAATAATGTGTTTTTTTAACCTTAAACCGCATAAACACATTTTATTACACCAAATGCACAAAATAATGTTATTTTTAGCAACATCATATGACCCCTTTAACATTTATAATGACCATCAAAGTAATCCTCACCAGTCCTGGCTGTTGATGGCATCACCGTATCCAGGTGTGTCGACCACAGTGAGACGCAGCTTCACTCCACGCTCCTCGATCTCCACCGTCGAGGCCTCGATCTGCACCGTGCGCTCAATCTTCTCTGTATGACAAGAGCACATATAAAAGCCACATTAAATAAGACAAAAAAAAAAAGGCTGAGATCCAACCTTCTGTGCAAAACTGCCTCATAAACATCAAACCACATTTTGATAAGAATCTGAACATCTGATGTAAATTCCTCAGTGTTGAAACTCTCACCTGCAGCACCAGGAATGATCCTCTCTGGGTAGAGATCAGTGAGGAACAAACTGTTGATCAGAGTGGACTTCCCCAAACCAGACTCACCTGAAAACAGAAGAAGTGCTCATGAGGAAACACCAAATCATTCTATCAACTACAAAACATTTCCCTTTGCAAAGAATAAACAGCATAATGTCAAAGCAAACATCGTAGACTTTATCGTTTTGTGCAATCATCTGTTCATCTAGTCAGTGTTTTGTTTCTGTGTCTCAGTCGAGCTGCCCTCCATCATTTGCTGAAGCTGTGCAGCAGTGAAAGGGCTGGTGGTCGGAGGTTCTGCATTCCTCTGATTTATTTTAAGACGATGGGATGACTGTACAATGGGCCTCTGCTGAGCGGGCAGCTCCCGGTCACCCTCCCCCACAGCAGATCTCATTTGTGTGTCAACAGCTGTACACACACACACACACACACTCTCACAGGGCTGAGGGGAGAGTCCCAGCCGTCTTAAAAAAACTAGGATTCATCGTCGCTGTGGTGCAGCCAGACTCTTGTTCCCACAGTCATTTTCATGATGCAATAAACATTTAAACATGAAGTACTACGTTTTCTACTACTAAAATGTGTTTTCCCTCCAAATATGGAAGCTGCTGTCCCTGATGTTTCTAGGATGTGACATTTCTCCTTATGTTCACAAAGAGTTATGCTGCACACTTTATGCTAATACTGCAGAAAAAAAAGAAAAAAGACATACCTGAACATGGTTTCTCATAGTTATAATATAAATTACATGGGAAAACTAATCGTGTATTGCTTGTCTGCGAAATAAACATAGCAAGGAAACATTAGAAATTCAATTATAATCGCATAGACTGTTTATATTTATATGCACTGGAGAAATTAATTCAAAACATGTGAATTGCTCTTAACCTAATTCTAATGTTAAAGTTGCGACAAAATGATAGAAGCGACAGATATTTTATTCCGTATAGTGACATACACCCGAGAGTAGCAGATTATTAAAAAAAGTAATGTCAGGAACTTGGTTCTATGCATCGGTTGTTCAATGGATTTTGAGATGTGGGTGATGCACACAAAAATGGAGGGAGATGAACGTGAGCTGGATCAATAACTTGCATTTAGAAAAAAGGGTTTTTTTTCATTTAATGTCGACTTTAATGAGATTAGACAGCTGTACTGTCAATTCAGATTATTCAAACAACAATTGACCTATCGGTAAGCCCCGCCCCCCTTCATTACTGTTGCTCACTCGGACAAACAAACGGAGCTGCTCACTGTCTTACAATGACAGCTGTCAGTGAAAACCTTCTTCCGAGGTGTTTCTGATAAATTTGGGACACAGATGGACCTTCAAGTGGGACTTAAATATGCCATGGAGGGATATATAAAAGATATAAAAATAAATATGTAAAAATACAGATCACAATGCAAACGGGAGAATTATGTTACGGTCGTCACGATCGCAATGACAACATCCCGGATCAACACCGTTCATGTACCGCAGAGCAAAATTAAATTAATTTACATTTAACCAGATTAATATGGAGAGGCACTCTAATATAGACCTTTGTTTATGTGTTTTTGACTTTCACTGCATGGTACATGATGTGAGATCAGTTCGCTATTTATGTTTGTACGTTAGCATGGACTCACTAACTTTAACGCTAACGTTAGCTAGTTTTAGCCAGAGATACCTTGCTGAAGCACAAGATGACATTAAGGTTCTGCTTGAGCAGATGAAAAGTGTAACTTAATGAGAGTATGACAACCAGAAAAATCATTGTGATTGGGGATGAATGCTTAGGGACATTTTGCTCTGTTTTGGTTGGATTTAAGAAATAGAATAAAATAAATGACATTGCCTATCCTCTCAGGATACCTGGAATTAGAGTTACAAGTACTCTAGGCACATTGTTTTTCCATTTTCGTAGCATAAACACCATTAAACCGGTGCGAGCTTCGGATCTTCCAATGTTTCTCTATGGCGCTGAAACCTAAAATGTCCGAGTTCCACTCCCTGGGCAAATGATACTCGACTGCCATTGGCTCATCTGCGTTCGATGGGAGGGGCTTACCGATACACACCTCTGTTAACGGAGCTCATTCACAGAGGATACGCTAATCTTCAGACAAGCAGAAGTCGCGCATTAGATAAATCCTGACCTGTGACCTGAAGCACAGAAATGAATTGGATTAATGGTTTCGATCTACCTTTCAGTCGCAGAAAATCTTGAGTTCGGTACCGCAGGAGGTTGAGGAGACGAACAGCCCAAATTCCTGAGATTCCGGAAAACTCTCACTAAACGCCGACAGCAAAAGCACAAGTGTGAAGTAAGAAACGTGGAAAAGTCTCATTGTTTCAAAATAAAAGTCCCGTCGTAGCTCCGTATCGAAGATAATTATAATTGTTGTTTACAGACTTAAATTATGCACAAAACTATACTTATTAAAACATAAAACCTACATTTAAAATAGGGTTATTCCAATTGTTTTGGTATCTCTTTGATTCCTTTCTTTTTCAGATTTAATTACATGAAGAGCAAAAAAGAAAAATTATGTGTGTAGTATTTTGTTTAATATTATAGGATTTCAACTCTAAATGTTATTCTAATTGTTTAACAAGTTAAAAAAAAAAAAAACTTTCAGCCACACTACATTTCGGATTTCAACAGAACAGATTAAACGTGTGATCGTCGTGACAGAACTCAACAACAGCATATAAAAAATAATAGCATATAATAACATTTAAGACATAATACAAACAAATCAATTCTTTTGAGCAACCAATGTATCGTCAATGGTTTAAATCACATCATATTACAGCCATAGGCCCCTATACTCAGAATCTCACAGATATACAAATGTATGATTGGCAGTGACCTCTAGTGGTTATAAACAGTAGACAGTTGGCCATTATGAATTTTACAGAAAAACAAAGGTATTAAACTACACTCTAAAAAATGCTGGGTTGTTTCAACCCAACTTTGGGTCAAATTTGGACTAACCCAACTTTTGGGTTAAAAATGTAATGTAAAAATGTAACCCAACGGTTGGGTTAGTCCATATTTGACCCAAAGTTGGGTTGAAACAACCCATTATTTTTTAGAGTGTATGTTGCTGAAAATACTTGAAAAAAAATACTCTCCTTGCATTTAAAAAAAAAATATTCCATCTAATTTATTCATAATGAATGGTGATTATTTTTTGTCTTGTTAAGAGTAAATATGAAGTTTTCTCAAACAATTGACATTAGAATATGACACATGCTAAAGATTATCAGACAGAAAACTGCATCCAAATTTCAGATTTAATTACATGGAGAGCAAAAAAGAAAAATTATGTGTGTAGTATTTTGTTTAATATTATAGGATTTCAACTCTAAATGTTGTTCTAATTGTTTAACAAGTTTAAAAAAAAAAAAACTTTCAGCCACACTACATTTCGGATTTCAACAGAACAGATTAAACGTGTGATCGTCGTGACAGAACTCAACAACAGCATATAAAAAATAATAGCATATAATAACATTTAAGACATAATACAAACAAATCAAACCAAAACTTTTGGGTTAAAAATGTAATGTAAAAATGTAACCCAACGGTTGGGTTAGTCCATATTTGACCCAAAGTTGGGTTGAAACAACCCATTATTTTTTAGAGTGTATGTTGCTGAAAATACTTGAAAAAAAATACTCTCCTTGCATTTAAAAAAAAAATATTCCATCTAATTTATTCATAATGAATGGTGATTATTTTTTGTCTTGTTAAGAGTAAATATGAAGTTTTCTCAAACAATTGACATTAGAATATGACACATGCTAAAGATTATCAGACAGAAAACTGCATCCAAAAACTCTAAATAGCCTATTTTTCTTTTCTTAACAAAACAAGGTCATACGTATCAAAGCAAGTAACATGCCATGATAAACAGCAACAAAGATTCTTTTAGAGGTATTGAAAATAAATAAGACCTTCTGGATTAAATATTTAACTGTAATGACATATGACACTGATATGTGACACCAAAACTCATTTACTCACACTAAGTAGCCTAAGCATTGCAATGCTTACAGGGCACCTTTCACGTAAAAGCTCCGTTTAATTTGCTGTGGCACATTTGAAGTCTTTAGTCTGCATTTAGTGCTTTTCGCAGAAATGCCTTATTGCAAATGTCTCTAACTGACTGCTGACTGCTGTGATTTGGGGCTTGCAGATAGGCAGGCAATAATGTCCCCCGGCTTTATCTCCAGTATTAATTTCACAGGGACGAGAGAGTGGCTAGGGATAGATCATGACACCTCTTAGGATTTGAGCGGTCTCCGTCAGTCCTCCAACACGTTTTTACCACTAATATTTCCATGAAAGGCTATTAAAGCAAAGCTTGACTTCTCTCAGATATGATTAAAATAAGCACACGATGTATCCCCCAGAGCAGAGGAAATCTGGAGGATTGCTCTGGAAGAGGTTTTCAAAATGCACAGTTTGAAGATGTCACTAGAGCTTTACTACACTGAAGAAAGTCCGAGAGTAATCAGAGTTTCATTTCATGCTTAAATGCCTGTATTTACAGATTCAGAGGAAACATAGTGTAGAAATTGCTTGAAATCATTTTGAGTGGTCAAAGGATTTTTGGGGCAGGTCAAACTGTCTATATGTATGTGTGTGCATGTATTTATGTATAGGTATATGTGTGTGCATTTATATAGTTTTTGCATGATACAAATGTGTCTATGCACATAAATGCACGCTTTACCATTTACATACACTTTTTCTCACATTTGAGTACAATTTATTACAGTGTATTTTGTTACTCTCTTTTTAATATATTATACATTCTATTGATTATTATTTTCATTATTATTATAGATATTGCAATGATGTATATATTTGTTAATCCTCCTGGGTGGTGGGAATTTAAAAAAAAAATTATCTTTCCTTTCCACCCTCATTTAGTTAAATGCAGAGAAAATAATGCAAAAAAAAAAAGAAGAAGAAGAAGAAAGTTCCTTTCATAAGCATGATTCTATCTCCTGGACACTCTCCTTTTATTTCTTTTTGTCTCAAGCGCTGCATTTTCCATCTTCCTTATAAATTTGAAAAGGTA